TAGCCGGTTGAGCTATAGGCACCGAGCCGAGGTGTCTTCTATAATCTCTGAAGTTTAGCTATTTATTTCATGTAGTTTTGAAATTCAGTATGTGATTCAGTTTGACTTGATTTGTTAATCAGTTGATTATGATAATTCTTTAGTAATGTTTCCCTGTTTATTTTTCCCCCATTTTTGGCAGCTCTTTGACACCATGGTTGAAATAATAATAAAACTTATTTCTGGGCGGCGCCTGTGGCTCAGTGAGTAGGGCACCGGCCCCATATACCGAGGGTGATGGGTTCAAACCCAGCCCTGGCCTAACTGCAACAACAAATAGCCAGGCGTTGGAGTAGGTGCCTGTAATCCCAGCTACTTGGGAGGCTGAGGCAAGAGAATCTCCTAAGCCCAAGGAGTTGGAGGTTGCTGTGATTCATTGCACTCTACCGAGGGTTAAGTGAAACTCTGTCTCAAAAAAAAAAAAAAAAAAAACCAACTTATTTCTTTTGTTCTTTACTTTGAAAAAACTGCTTAAATTTTTGAGAACAGTTACTGAAATTGTGTTTTATTCGTTCTCTTTTCCATGCTGACTTTTCTAAACTTTTTTGCTTACATGTACATTTTCCTGAGACCTATAGAATTATTTAAGTAAAAAAATTACTGTTTTTTTTTTGGTAGAGACAGTTTCACTTTATCACCCATGGTAGAGTGCCGTGGTGTCACACAGCTTACAGCAGCCTCCAACTTCTGGGCTTGGGCGATTCCTTTGCCTCACCCTCCCGAGTAGATGGGACTACAGGTGCCCACCACAATGCTGGGCTATTTTTTTGTTGCAGTTTGACTGGGGTCAGGTTTGAACTTGCCACCTATGTGGGGCCAGTGCCCTGCCCACTGAACCACAGGCACCACCCCCCAAAGTTATTATTGAATATATAACTTTTGTGCATGATACAAAACTCAAAAGATACAGAAAAGTCCTCTTCTGCTAATGCTCCACCAACCAGTTACTTTTCTTTTCCCTGGTTCTTAAGAATCTTTCCATATCAGTTTATATAGAGTCGCCTTGTAGTCTTAAATGGTTGGTTGCATGGTATTCTGCTGTATGGGCATGCTGTATTCTAATTTAAATATCAGTTCTCCATTGTAAACTTAGGTTTTTCCTGACCTTTACTGTACCAGAAACAGTTGTATCATTGTAAATAATATAATTTTCCAGAGGCATATATTTAAATTCACAGTGGAATCACTGGGTCAAAGATTTTATTCATTGCAAATTTTGATAGTTATTGCCAAAGTACTCTTGCTCCAGAGGTTATTCCACTGTACTTTCTCATTAGTAATGTTTAAAATGCCTTTCCCCTACGCTGATGGTGACGTGATGAGTTATCAACTCCTTGATCTTTGTTGTCAGTCTAAGAGGTGAAAAGTGCATCACTGCATAATTGAAAAGTGCTCTCCTTGAACACTGTGGAATTTGAATGATATGGTAGTTCTGATTTGATTTTACTAGATTGGTGAAAAGACTATTTTGCTGTTATGATTATCAATACATGTATGTACTTTATAGAGTTTTCTTTTTTATAAAACTGTAGCAAGTAGTTTCTTAGGACTAGAGAACGTTGTTTGACGCTGAATTTTAAATTATATTTTATTTTATTTTATTTTTTTTGTTGAGACAGAGCCTCAAGCTGTCCCCCTGGGTAGAGTGCCGTGGCATTACAGCTCACAGCAACCTCCAACTCCTGGGCTCGAGCGAGTCTCCTGCCTCTGCCTCCCAAGTAGCTGGGACCACAGGCGCCCGCCACAACGCCCGGCTATTTTTTGGTTGCAGCCGTCATTGTTGTTTGGCGGGCCCGGGCTGGGGATTCGAACCTGCCACCTTAGGTGTATATGGCTGGCGCCTTCGCCGGTTGAGCTACAGGCGCCAAGCCTAAGTTATATTTTATAATGTAGATAATTAATATTTAGCATTTTAAATCACTGAATGTCTTTGATTTACAGGTTTTATCTGAGAGAACTAATATTCAAATTTGGGTTTGTGCCAATATCATTCGTCTCTTTAATGATGATAACACAATTCCCTTCATTATACGTTATCGAAAAGAGCTCATTAATAATATTGATGCTGATACTTTGAGAGAAGTTCGACAAACACTGGAAGAGCTACGGTAAGAGGGAAAGGATCAACCTGGTGTAAGGGGGAAAGGGTAAGCCAATGAGGAGAAACGTGAAGAAGCGAATGACAGTATATTTTGAAAGTTCTAGTGTTTTACTTCTTTGAAGTATTGTAATCTGGATAGAATCCTTTTCTGATGGAGAAAGTCACTTCTGTTTTGCTTATTTTGGGGTGTATGGAGTGCCTCTGCTGTTGTGTTTTTACATAGCGTGGGCGTGTATCGGCAGAAAGGTGGTTTGCCACCTGATAGGATGTAGTGAGAACCAAGTGTTACTTAACGCAATATTCCAGCTAAGGATGCATCATCTGAATTTAGTTTTAGGGAAACATCGGAGAAACCCAAACTGTGGAACATTTACAAAATAACCATCTCGTAGTAGTCAGAAATATTAAGACCTTGAAAATCAAGTAACGACTGAAATAACTGTTTTGCTTTGAAGAAAACTATACACAGCTATATGGAACCCATAATTCTGATCTGAATCTTATGTAAAGGACATTATTTGGACAATTAGTAAAACTTGAATGAAGTCTGAAGATTACATGGTACTAGTATATCAATATTAATTACCTGATATTGATGGTTATATTGTGGTTATGTACAAGAGTCATGTTTATAGGAAATGCATCCTGAAGTATTTGGTGGTATTGTTAACTTATTCTCAAATGGATCAGAGAAGAAAGAGGTTCATTTTACTTTATTTGCAACTTTTCTGTTAAGTTTGAGATTGCTTCAAAAAGAGAGTTTTGATATGTAAGTCTCATATGTTACAAAAGTTTTTATTTTCAGGGCTGTTGCAAAGAAGGTTCATAGTACAATCCAGAAGATAAAGAAAGAGGGGAAGATGTCTGAGTGCTTATTAAAAGCTTTGCTGAGCTGTAAAACTTTTGAAGAATTAGAACATGTGGTAAGTTACCCTTTTTTATCTTCTTACATATTACCCGAATATATTATGATTTGGGTCTTCTTGTAGTTAAAGATGACCAAGAAATAAAAAGATAAAGTTATTAGCCACCATATTTAATTCAACAAAATATTTATTCAGTAGATGTTTATGGAGTGCCTTTTTTTTTTTGTGCTGGACACTTGAGTTTATGGAGGTGAATAAATACATATCTTTACAGTATCCTCAAGGAATTCTCAGTCTAGTAGGGAAGGAAAGTAGATAATACAAATGCTAAGCTTAAGAAAGAAGGCTGAATTGGAGACCATGATGTGTGTTCAGCCTGGGGTTGATATTTGAAACCATGAGAATGGAGAAATTCACCTGAGAAGAGCTTGAAGGACAAGTAGGTCAATAAAAAAATGTTTATATTTGGTAATTAGGAGATCAATGTGGATCTTTGTGGTACCACTTTCAGCAAGGTGTATGGGAAGAGAAGCCAGGTGACAACAGGTTGAGGAGTGAATGTGGATTAAAAAGTAGAAGCATTGTGTGTAGACAGTTTTTAGAGGACTTTGCTGGAGTTAAGAAGAGGACCATGGCATCTAGACAGTGAGTTTCTAAGATGTGTGAAACCACATAGAAAAGCATGAAGGATAAGGTAAGGGATACATTATTTACATACAGTGAATGTAGTATCTAGTTAACATTACTTCACCTCTGAAGTAGGAGAAACGGATGTTTTTAGTATTCTCAGCGTGTCCTCTAATTTGGTATCCTACTGTTAACTTTTACTTTTTAAAACTGAACCATATGATATGTTTTCTGCCTTTTTTTCCTAGTCTGCTCCGTATAAAACTGGGAGCAAAGGCACCAAAGCACAGAGAGCAAAACAGTTGGGATTAGAAGGAGCAGCCAGGACACTACTTGAGAATCCAGGGCAGCTCAATCTGCCATCTCACATTAAACCCGGTGTTAAAGGTACCAGCTTTATTTGCAGAGATCAGGAGAGCATCTTTGTTTCTGTTTTTTTTTTTTTTTTAATTTAAAAACTTATGTTAAAAAGTTGTTTCATTAAATAATGACTATGTAAAAGGATATTGTAGCATATAAATAATAAATAAAATAAAACTCGATATACCTATTGCTCAGCCACCTAGCTCTCCTCTTTTTAAGTGCCTCCTTTGCACATTTTCCTATTGTGTTGTTTCTCTTTTATTAATTTGTAAGTATTTTTTAGTCATCTAGATGTGTTGCAAATCTTTTCTCCCAGTTCATAACTTGTCCTTCTATTTTTTTTTTTTTT